CTGCTGCTGCCCACGGCAAGCCCTCTCCCTGCTCAAGCTGCAGCTCGTCGCCCATCAGCAAGGGCTGCCCCGGGCCCGCGCCGTGGGAAGGAGAGCCCCAGCGGCGACAAACCCTGCCCGTCCCACGCCAACCTCCCCAGCGCATCCCCCTGCGCTCGGTTTACGGGACTCAAAACGCAGCGTACGAACCCCTGAACTTCACACCCAGACCTCGCACCTCTGCATGGCGTTGTCCCCACAGTCCCCACGCTCTGCCCCGTCCCACTGCTCCACGTTAGATGCCCGAATGCCCCACCGGTGCCAACAGCTCTGTGTGAAAGCCACAGGGGTGGCCAAACCAGCAGCAGCAGAGAAAAACTGAGGTGCAACAAGAGATGTTGCAGCCCCGTGCTGAAGGAACACAGAGGAGCTGGTCTAACACATCCCTGCCAGCCGCAGCACAGCTGGCGAGGCTAATTTTAAACTCACCAGCTTAGCAAGGCTCATTCCTGTTAAATAGGCTTTCAAGAATTCACGAGCTCCAGGCTGCGGTGCCGAAGAGCGAGCGCAGCTCCGGGGAAGAGCCCTTTCCCGGCCGGGGAGCAGCTCGGCGGAGATGAGCAGGTCCTGCCACGACAAGCCCTCGAGCCGCGGGTCTCAGCGGGGCAATGTAAAAAGCGAGGCCGTCCCGACCCCGGCCAACCCCTTCCCCTCCCGCTCCTCCCCACGAGAGCTCGCCGACGCGGTGGGCGCGTTGGCTGAGCCATGGTTTCAATTAGCACAAGCTCCTTCGCCTGACAAAGGCGTCCGTATTTTTAGTTCAAGGGGAATGCATCAAATCTGGTTTTAACCAACAGGAAGCGAAGAGCCGGTGGGCACCAAATCCAAGCTGAAAGAACTCATTTCACCAGCGTAAGTCTACCAGTTTTGTACCTGAAACGAGAATCCCTGAGGGTAGAACTATTAGAAAAATGAGAAAAGAGGGGTCACCAGACAGCTGTGAAAGCACTACAGACACGCAGCGACTTTCTGGACCCTTCTCACTACAGGGATGCTCAGAAAGGTGAGGTTCGTTTCACCAGCAAAGTGTTTTTCACGCAAACTGCAAAACCTCCCCTTTGCAAGGAGAAGCAGCAAGGGCGCAGTTCAACCCGTTGGGGCTGTGGGTTGCACCTCCTCCTCCTCCTCCTCCTCCTCTGACCCACACGGCTCCCTGGCAGATATAAGCACCGAGCTTAAATACCCCCACGGTGAGGACGCGCGGTGCCTCCGGCTGAGTCGGCTGACAGGGTGACCCCAGCCCTGCTC